TTTTCAAATTATATATTTTCTTTTCTTTAAAAAAAAAATCCAGAACACTGAAATAGTGCCATTTTGAACGGCACTGTTCTCCTTCTCCCCTGCAAATGCAGAGACAGGGGAGAAGAAGATTTTTTGAAATCCTTTTCCTGCTTACCCTCTCCTTCTCTACCTCCCCACTTGCCTAACTACTTACACAATCCATACTCTCATTAATGGAGAAATAGGAGACCCGTGGCCCAGCCACCATGCCCTGTGCTTGTATAGGGTATGGTGAACCTCTCCTCGACTACCTATAAATACAAGGGAGAGCGACACATAAGGGGAGGGAGAGGAAAAGAAAAAAAAAAAGGAAACTAGCGGTGGCAAAATTTTAGAGAAGGAGAGAAGCAAACAACATATTTATGGGGGGTTTTGGGCAGAGAGAAAGATAAGAACAAGGGGAAATTTTTGGTGTGAAAGAGAGGAATGAACCGAGGAATTTTGAGGGTGTAAGGAGAGTGAAAGAACAGAAAAAAAAAAAAAAAAAGAGTCGAAACCAACAAAGAAACAGAGGAGAGGAGAGGAAGAACCACAGGTTGCGGTTCGTATAGCTGCCACCATCACCTCCACCGTTCCTCCCAGTCACCCCCGACAGCACCATCATTTTCCAAAAGTAGAAGAAGATACAAAGAAGTAAGGGGAAGAAAAATACAGAGAAACAGAGGCTTGCGCCTCTACACGGGGGAGAAGAAAACAAACTGCAGCAAACACCGCCTACCTGCCTCATTACTGCTACAACAACCCCTCCGCTCTCAGAGAAAAACAAAAAAGGAGAAAGAACAAGACAGAGAGCAGAAATAGAGGTTGAGTAAAACACAAAGAAAAAAGAGACCACCGACCACCCTCAGCTCTCCCCAGTTTGCCACCGCCACCAGCACCGTGAGATACCACTAACACCGCCGTAGCCAGAACAAAATAGGAAAAAAAAAACAGAGAGTCAAAGAACGAAAGGACAAAGGAGAAGAGTGCCGAAAAATAGAAGATAAATAGGGAAGAAGATAAACACTGTAACATCTCTCTGGTCTCTTTCTCTTCATCGCTGGAAACACTTCCTGCCACCACAACACAACCGCTGTCCACCGCGAAAACAGTGCCACCGCTAGGTAATTCTCTCCCCCTCATTTCTGTTTTCTGGGTTTTCTTCTTGCATGCAGAACATGCACTATGCACGTTCTGCAAGCAAGAAAATAATTACTTGGTTACTATGCATAAGCATAATAACCAACTAATTATAATTAACTGGTTACTGTGCAGGGCACAGTAACTAGTCCGGGTTGGACCATTAGCCTAGTCCACACGACTGCACAGTAACTAGTCCGGGTTGGACCATTAGCCTAGGCCACACGACTGGGCTGAGTCTAACCCAATATAAGATAGTTGGTATTTTATTTGAGTCGGTCCTAGCCTAGTCACAAAAATTTTTTAAAAATTTTTTTTGAAAAAATATGTCATTTTTTCACATATTTTGTTGTGGAATTTTGTCTAATATTGATTTGTACTTTTATACTATAAAGATACAAATCCGGTATTAAAATACCCTGTTTTCACCAAAACATTGAAAAATTAGACAAAAAAAAATGTTCTTATTTTCATGCATACGACCAAGTCTCTTAAAGAAAAAATCACATCATATTTTCATATAACAAAGAAAACTTAAAAAAAAAATGTTTTAACATGCATTTTGGCTTTAATAACCAGTTTATTAAAGTCACGAGAACTTGACCAATATTTCAAAAAAATCCAAAAAAATTATTTTGTTTTCTTTTAATATAAGGTGTTTTCTTTTAATATAAGGGATTATGAATTTATACGTAAAATGTATTCCTGATATTAAGACAATAGTTCTTTTATAGATATTAGAATGGTTAGGTTTTACCCCATAAGATAAGAACCTCCTTACCGATAAGGACTTTTCTTGAACCATAGAATGACTAACATGATAAGACCTTATATTTTTTATCAGACAATAAAACAATGCAGCTTACCTTAGATAGAACGTATTTGGGGTGCTAATACCTTTCCTATACGCAACCAGTTTCCATACCTGATCTCTGAGACCAGTTAGGGTTCCTAGTGACCATAATAATAGGTGGCGACTCTCATTCCTTCTTTTTTTTCACTGATAAAAGATTAGAATTCCTTGTCTTCTTATATTTTCTAGATATAAACACATATTGAGTGAGGGTGGACAATCGTCGCGACGCCGCACACGTGCGATAGGAATTAAAAGGGTTTTTATAGATTTTTTTCCTTTAGTTTCTCAACAAAACCCTAATGGAAAGGAAACATTAAAAAAATCATATTGTTCAAGAGGTAAAATCAAGGATTTTTTTAGTTCAAAGATTTTAAATTATTTTTGTTGTTGAATTGCTAAAAAGAGAGTTGGCTCTCTCGACTCACTAGTTCACCTAAAGGTTCATAAATTGGCATTGTCAAGGAATAATTAAGAGGTTGTATTTTAATAATTCAATCTATTATTCAAAAAGAAATTGCTATTACTTTCATTAATAATAGTTAAAAATATTATTAGTTATGCTATTATTTCAAATTTTGAATGGTTCTAGTAAGCTATTAGAGTTTATTTGATATTGTTGTAGTTTTTTTTTAAAATACTTTTAAAATTATTCTTCATTTGAAAAGGTATCAAATTGATTTTTTTTAGATATTTTTTTAATGATTTTAATATGTTGATATTAAAAAAATAAAAATTATAAAATAACATTATTTTTATGTATTTTCAATCGAAAAACACATTTAAAAAATACTCTACGCTACAATATTATATACATAATTAGTTGAGTAGTTTAATGCGTGCTCTCGTCATAATAATAATGTGTGATGAAGTCTTTTTTTTCTTTGTTTATTCTACATTATATCCCATATATAAAATATTTGGATATATAGAATATTTGGATATATAGAAGAGTTCTACATTTTTATCCATATTTTTGAATTTTATGACCATAATGATATCATATTTTGTAGTTCAAACGATATTTTACAATTTAATCTTTCATTAGACTAAAAGAGTATATCCCATGTATAAAAATAATAGAAATTACAACTTAATTGGTATTTGAAAATGTCGTTGAGAACATTAACACATGGTCTTCTTGGCGTATGGAGAATATAAAAAACTCTTTGAACTTCCTAAACTTGGATTGTTTATGTAGAAACGATTGCATCGCGCATACATAAATGAGTTTAAGCCACCAAGAATCAACAACAAACGAGCTGCATAATTAATAACTACCTTACGTAAAATATTAAATTTCAAATAAAATGATGTAATTTCTTATATATATATAACAGTGTACAATTTAGATTGAAAAATAGATGGAAAGGTTTAAAAATAAATAATAATCCTTAATTGAGAATTTCTACGAGTTTGAGTATAAAATTAATAAAAACAACTGGTGCTAAGACTGAGACTAGCTGTATAGTTGGGGAATATTCATTGTCCACTCGTTTATTTTTCCTCCATTTGAACTTTGAAACCATAGAAAATGCATGTCTGTTTCAATCAAAAGGTTATCCCATTTCAAAAAAATTATTCTGCACTAAACTTGTTTTTTAAAATACCTGTGAAACATATATTGATAAAACAAAGTGGAAATTGCACTTTCCACAAATCAGCTTGCATTGATAAAACTATATAGAAATAAAAATTTAGTTAAATTTATTTTTATTTAAAATTATTTTTTATATTTTTAAATTTTGATAGGATGATACTAAAGGTAATTTTTTTTAAATAAAAAAAATATTATTTTGATATATTTGTAAATAAAAAACACTTTGAAAAGCAATCATTACTACACTTTTAAATATATTCTTAAATATTTAATTTTTATGAACCATTCACTTACATTTGAATACTCTTCCAAATATATTTAGTTTTAAAAAAATATTAAATTTATATTTTCTTAGTGTTTGACAGGTGAAAATTAATGCCTGTAATTAATTTTTGTTTTTAAACTTCTGCTCCGTTTTCTTTTCACAACGCACCTCTCATATATACTTGTGATATTACGGGAACTGAATGTATAACTTTTTACCCATAAAATTTGGTTTTTCCGTGGATGATAAGGGAAACATTCTATGTGATTTTTGTTTTGTAAAATATTTTTTAAATTGTTTTTTGTCTAAAAAAAATCAAGCTTATAAAATTTTAGATATTTGTTTTAATTATTTTAATATACTAATATAAAAAATAAAAAAATCTAAAAAACATTATTATTATACATTTTAATTAAAAAAATACTTTAAAAAATACTTTATACTGGATCACCAATCGTACCTCGAGGCTGAAATTTTAATTAATGAAGAAAAAGGGGGCCGATCGTAAATGCAGTTTCTTACCGTTTTCCAAGTACGAAATATGAATCACAAAACAAGTCTTGTTCAAACTCGGAATTGTTGTTCAAAGACGAACATTAAACATTCATGAAACATTGGTTAAAACTTTTAGTCCAGGTCAAATCATTAACAAATCTCGTGGGTTTGATCACTGTTAGTCCAGGTCAAATCATCGAGTAAAGATTTGTAAGACCTTCTTGTATGATCACTGTTAGTCCAGGAAACCACACACACATGCATGCACACATCTTGTAAAAAATGGAAAAAATGAAGTTATGAATTAGGATGTAACAGTTTCATGACTCATTCTTTACTCTCTCTCTCTACTTGTAGGGTAAAAACTTGATTCGTATTTATTGAACTTTTTTGTTGAAATTTGATTTAAAAAAAAAAAATCAATCTTATCCATGATCTTTAAGATCTTTGCTAATGTGTTGAGTTTTTTCCAAGGATATGACATTAAATTTGATAATTAAATATGAATTTAATTCAAAAGAATAAAATTCAGTGGTGAGGGACTCATGTAATATTACCTTATATTCTTATAATTATTTGACGGGGGACTTCGTTCTATAACAATATTTTTCTTCTTGCCTTGATTAATCCCAATTCTTCCAAGAAAATTCCCATGTGCTATGCTTTTGGATGACCCACCATATTTGACTGCTTTATATATATACATGGCCTCCCGGCCGTATGGTGAAAGAAGACAGAAAACAATTTCAGCTCCAAATTATAGATGATTCTTGATAGCTAGTAGTGTCGAAATCTCAAAACACAAGATATGGGTCACAATTTCCTTGTTGTTAAAAAAGGTTTTCAAATTCTTTTGCTTTATTTTTCCATTGCCAACCTTCTAGATCTTGCTTATGCTGATCCTCCTTACAAACTTTGCTCGAACAAATCTAACAATGCAGATAATAGTCCATTTCAAAACAAGCTCGAGATCCTCATGGCTTCTCTTTCTTCAAATGCTTCCGTTTCAAAAAATTTCATTACCTCTACTGGAATTGATCCAGACAGAGTGTATGCTCAATATATGTGCCTCAACTATGTAACAAATGAAAGCTGCCGTACCTGCGTAGCTGCAGCATCTCAAGATATCAGGCAGCTTTGTCCAGGAGATAAGGAAGCAGTTGTATGGGGAGAGCTATGTCAATTGCGCTACTCGAATCAAAGATTCTTAAGCCGCTTGGATGTTTCAGGAAACATTCCCCAACAAAATCCGAAGAACATTTCAAATCCAGAACATCTTAGTTTAGTAGTCAATAAAACCTTGAGTAGTCTTATCAAGAAGGCAGCTTTTGGTCCTTCAGCGAATATGTATGCTACTAGAGACGAACCTTTCACTAATAGTGACAACTTTTTCTCTCTAGTACAATGCTCTACAGACTTGTCTCCAAATGATTGTTACACATGCCTTGAGGTTGCCATAAGAAATGTTACGACTTGTTGCCTTTTTTCTCGTGGAGCAAGGGTTTTGAGCCGCAGTTGCTATTTAAGGTATGAGTTATATGCTTTCTATGACGGCGCAACTGAATCTTCTCAAAGTCCGGCGACCGGAAAAGGTACTAATTTGCTTATAGATCAATTAAGACGTAAAAAGTGGTTATATTTGGTTATATTTGCTAATATAAAAATTAAACTATACCTCATGCACTGAAAATAATTTCTTTTCCCTACTAATATAAAAAACTACATGCACTGAAAATAATTTCTTTTCCCTAATGACAGGCAACGAAAGCGAAAAATGGATAATTACAATAAGTACTGTGGCATCCACACTTTTGGTGGTAGCAATTTTAGGCTCCTTCTTCTGCCATCTTGCGATGAAATTCAGAATGCGAAAATGCAAGGATGCTTCTTATGAAATCCACTAACATGTTCCTTTTTGGTTTTCTTGTAACCCTTGTTGACTTCTTGAATCTTGTCACACAGGTAAGAAAGAAAATACTAGCCAAGATGGTAAATTTCGTGTGTTTGATCACCCAAACCACAATGATTTCCAGCACCAAGATTTTCAGAGAGATGGCCTTAATGATCGGGAATCCGCAATTATGGATTTGGCATCCATAAATGCAGCTACTGATAACTTCTCTGAAACAAACTTTCTAGGGCAGGGTGGTTTTGGCCCGGTTTACAAGGTAAATGAATTACAATATCTTATGTTCAAGCTCAAATTACCTTACGGAGTTCTCTAGAGAAGAGATAAAAAGAGGTTTTACTAATTCCTTTGTTGTGTATTTTTTAAGGGTATTCTGAGTGATGGAAAAGAATTAGCAGTAAAGAGACTTTCAGCTTCGTCCGAGCAAGGCAAAAACGAGTTTACAAATGAAGTTCAGCTAATCATGAAACTTCAGCACAAAAATCTTGTTAAGCTTCTCGGTTTTTGTGTTGATGGAGAGGAAAAGCTTCTGGTCTATGAATTCATGCCTAATAACAGCCTAGACATGGTCCTCTTTGGTAAGTAGTCCTCTTTAATAAGTTTCTTAATGTTTTCAAATCAGAAATTTCCATAATTCATTGATCTCAGATACAATACGCTGAAGTTTTATTTTTGAAATACTGAATTCAAGCAATAATTTGATTTCGTATCAATTGTGATTTTAACTGTACGTAGATCGGAAGAAACGTGCTCAACTTAGTTGGAGAAGTCGTATTCATATTATAAATGGGATTGCAAAGGGAACTCTTTATCTCCATGAGGATTCTAGACTTAGAATCATCCATCGGGACCTGAAAGCTAGCAATATCTTGTTGGACAATAACATGAATCCGAAGATTTCTGACTTCGGAATGGCAAGGATCATGGAAGCTAATGAAGGCGAAGGCAATACTGTTAGGATAGCGGGAACATAGTAAGTGAATTTTCACCTGAATTATCTTTGTATATCAAGTATAATCACTTCATTAGCTACCCGATTTCCTAGACAATAATAATATAACAAAGCACGATGGCATGATCCATCATCTTCCTTGTTTCATGTTTCTAACTTTTCCAAGTCTGGAGTTTTTTGGGCCACCTCTGTCTCCACTAGCTGCTGGATGCACAGCACATAGGGCTTGTTGGATATTTACTTTTTCCAGGATTACTAAAAATTTCCTGTCCCTTCTGTTGAATAGTGGATACATGGCACCAGAGTATGCAATGGAGGGACTTTACTCCACCAAATCTGATGTTTTTAGTTTTGGAGTTATTCTGTTGGAGATCATAACCGGAAGAAAGAATTCTGGATTCCACAAATCGAAACGTGCTCCTAGCCTCCTAGCTTATGTAAGTTTCTTCGGCATATATAGAATACACATAATCACTTGCTTGACACTGTGATATAAATGTTTAGTTAAGTACACTTCCGAATCCTGAATCAGGCATGGGAATTATGTAACAATGGAAAGGAACTCGAGATGATAGATCCAGTGTTGGCTGATTCATGCTGCTCTGATGAATTTTCCCGATGCGTGCATATCGGTTTATTATGCGTCCAAGAAGATGCTAGTGAAAGGCCAGCCATGTCGTCCGTTGTTTTAATGCTGAAAAGTGACAACTCAATTGATCTTCCCCATCCTCAACGGCCGGCCATTTTTGCTGGGAGATTTACAGACCACCACGAGGCAAAAGCTAATGATTGTTCTGTCAGTGGCTTAACAGTTTCTGATACTTTACCTCGTTGATGAAGCTGGCGAATGAATGAAGTGTGTGACCGCGAAGCCCTCTTAGGCATGTCCGCGGCTATATAGGATATAAAGGGCAAAATACGTTCATTGTTTCTCAGTTACAAAAATTGGTATGAAAGAGTAATAATGGAATGAAATCAATTATCTGTTCAAAAAAAATTGTTCAATATAATTATTTATTACAATATTTTGAATGTGGATACTGAATATTTGATTTGGTATTTACAATGATAATTGAAAATTTTCTTTGATAGTAATGTAAAAGGTATACATTGATGGAGGGACCATGAGTCACCAATCACTGAAAGTATAGGGACTTGCATGACCAAAATTCCAGTAAAGTAATTTTCAAGACTTGAGGGATTACAAATGTATTTTACCAAAGTTAGATGGTAGGTTTTGTGTAAAACTAGTAAAATCTAAATTTTGCTTTCCTTAAAAAAAATTATCCTAAAATTTTAATACTTCAAGATTAATAATACTATAAGAGTTATGACAAAAAAAAATTTTTTTACTTAAAAATATATTAAAATAATATATATATATATATATATATATTTTAATATCAACATATAAAAATAATCCAAAAATATATATAAAAATTAAAGCTAAAAACAATAATAATAAAAAAAAAAAACACAGTTTTACCACAATGCAATCACCACCTTAGTGTTCTCTAAACCGCACTCAATTGATGGATGCAAAAAATTGGGAGAGGAAGCTATTTATAGTAACAAAACTAAAAATGGTGCATTAATTCACCTCTCCCGAGTCCATGCAGATCGTAGGATGAGATTGTGCATGCCATGAAATTTCAACTTTGTCACGTGAAGACAAAGCATGCATTACACAGTTGAAGACAAAGCTGCTGCTGTGCTTTAACGTCGGTGCTGAGTATCGGTAGAAGATGCTAAGCAAGGGCAGACAAATACTGTGTTGATAACAAGTCAATTTTCACGTATTGGACTTTTTTTTATGAATTATTAAAAAAAAAAGAGTGCCAACAAGAGAAGAAACTCTTTTTAGCCAATAATATAAATTCAATGTTACCTTTTATCTATCTTTGTTTAAAATGATTAACAAATTTAAGTCAAATTATTCATGCATCACATGTACCAAGTTGGATGACCGCACTTTACATATACTTTTTTATCCTAGCCTTAAATAATAAAGTGCATGCGTGATTTTAGTGGGCTCTTTTTTCTTTAATTTGATTAGTTAATAAAACACATGTAAGGAACATGTGTAATTAATTAATAATATTTGGTTATTATCTTAAGGTAAAATAGATAAGGATGGTATGGATGAAAATGACATGTCAATCTTTTATTTCATACTTTAAAAGTCGACATTCAAGCTTAGCTGGGGGCATAGCTTCCTTTTATCTAATAATCCGAATATCCCTTTCGTTTCTTCTTTTGAAATTTAAGTTTGTGGATTAAGCTTTGAAAAGCAGATGGCCTATACTGGATTGGGCAAGAAATGGGAAAGCCTTAGTATAACATGTGAGAAGAAGAGAGAAAAGAGGTTACCAAGTGCAGCAGCTCTGCTGCAATGTGCAGCAATGTGTGTATGAGCTGAGAGTTGAGTTAGAAAGGATATAATCCTCCTCCTCCTCCATGTATTTGTTTTGTGTTCTTTTTCTATCTCTAATAATATCGACTCTCCCGTGGATGTAGACGATATGCCAAATCACGTTAAATATTGTATCAGTGTGCTTAGCTTTCTATGAGCAAATATTAGTACATCACTAGTTCGAATTCTCCAAGAAAGTTGGTGTAGGTGGAGCTGTCAAGTAGAAAGACGTAGAAGCTCCAAACATAGAAATCGAGATGGATGATTGCGAGGAGTGTATTGCAACTCTCTCTTTCTATGTGATTAGTAGTAGTGATCTCTCTCATAGTCTACATGGTGGTAGAGAATCTTGAAGCCACTTTAAAGCATCCTAGTTGAAGGAGGATGCGACCGCATATGAAAGGCGAAGACACCTTAGAGAGAAGGTATGAGGGCCACAATATGAGCTCAGGTTTAGACCGCTGCATGACGACGAGCGAAGACACCTCAGGAGAAGGTGTGAGGGCCATGATAGGAGCCCCAATTACAGAATGCCCCAGAGCCAATGTGATGATTAGATATGAGTGGATATGTGGATAGTCAATGAAGTGGCTATGATGAGTATGCAGACAAATGCAGGATTGACTTTCATAGATATTACCCCCATGCTAAAGATCAATGAGCTAGAAGACATTTTCCTTGGATAATAAGTGGATGACTTGTGGAGCATTAAGACCCAACTGCTATGTAGGAGTAGAGGGCATGCGCAGGTTCCTGAAACAAGTTGACTCTTGTCAAAGTGGTGGGCTCGGTAATGACATTGTAATACTCAGAGAATGAAGATAGATATGGATCAACCTTTAATGAGCTGCCCCATGGTTAAAGGTGAAAAGCTACCTAGACTCTTGAGACTAAGAGTAGGAGACTCATGAAGAAGTAAGACGTGGTTTCTAGGGTGGAACAGAGGGCAAACGTAACTCCTGAATGAGTAGACTCTTAGAAGAGTGGTGAGCTTGTGATCATATTGAGATACTTAGATAATGACTGTCGCACTTGGAAATAGAAATTTTCGTTTGAGAGGGTATTGTAAGCATGGTTGATACACTTGAAGGGGAATGTTGTGTCTCAAAGACAAGTGTTAACACTCTTCAGATGTGATGTGGGAGATCATCTGGTTAAAGTAATCCTTTGGTGTGAGCAAGGGTGTGCTCAGGTTACTTTAGTGATTGAAAGGTTTGGCGAGTACCTATAAATTTGGCCACAGACGCTTTCGAAATGATAAGCTTGGAAGAGTTGTAGGATGTAAGCTTGTGCTGAAGAAGAAAGAGGACAATTGCTTATATAAATATCAAATGGGGTAATTGTTGAGATATTGCCATTAATGGGCAACTTCTTTGCAGCCTACCCTAAGGAGTAGGGTTGCCATTGTCAAAAGCCTACAGTGGTAGGTGTATAGCCAAGTTGCACCAACCATTGATAAAATAGTGCAACTCATGTGCTGCCACCATTAGTGTCATAAATCATGGTATAATTTGTGAATTTTATCTTACCATTGATGCCTATAAATAGAGGCATTATTTAAGAGCAAAATAAGAGAGAGAGTGGTGAGAGTGCAACATGTAAGAAGAAGAAAGAAAGAGGGGTTGCTAAGGGCAGCAGCTTTGCTGCAATGTGCAGTAGTATGTGTAAACTGGGAGTTGAGTTAGAGTGGGTGTAATGTTTCTTCTTTATGTATTTGTTTTGTATTTTTTTTTTATTTTTAATAATATTGATTTTTTCATAAATATAAATGATATACTGAATTATATTAAATATTATGTAAATATACTTAAGTTTCTATAAACAAATATAAGTATATTATCCGGATTCCCCCACCAACTTAGATGTCATCCATTATCGTGGAAAACGCACACCAACCTTTCGGCTTTTAGAGTGGAAAAGGGCGGAGCTATGAGCGCCTAAATACTCGTGGGAAACGCACACCAATCGTCTTTTGTATCACTTTATTCATGTTGGAGCATTTTCAAAATAAAATGGTGCATTAATTCACCTCTCCCGAGTCCATGCAGATCGTAGGATGAGATTGTGCATGCCATGAAATTTCAACTTTGTCACGTGAAGACAAAGCATGCATTACACAGTTGAAGACAAAGCTGCTGCTGCGCTTTAACCTCGGTGCTGAGTATCGGTAGAACATGCTGAGCAAGGGCAGACAAATACTGTGTTGATAACAAGTCAATTTTCATGTATTGGATTCTTTTGTATGAATTATTAAAAAAAAAGAGAGTACCAATGACAAGAGAAGAAACTCTTTTAGTCAATAATAATATAAATTCAATGTTACCTTTTATCTAATCTTTGTTTAAAATGATTAACAAATTGAAGTCAAATTATTCATGCATCACATGTACATATGAACTTCATTAATGTAATGAAATAGGAGGATTACACACGACCGTGTTGGATGACCGCACTTTACATATACTTTTTTATCCTAGTCTTAAATAATAAAGTGCATGCGTGGATTTAGTGGGCTCTTTTTTCTTTAATTTGATTAGTTAATAAAACATATGTAAGGAACATGTGTAGTTAATTAATAATATTTGGTTATCTTAAGGTAAAATAGATAGGGATGGTATGGATGAAAATGACATGTCTATCTTTTATTTCTTACTTTAAAAGTCTACATTCAAGCTTAGCTGGGGGCATAGCTTCCTTTTCTCTGATAATCCGAATATCCCTTTTGTTTCTTCTTTTGAAATTTAAGTTTATGGCCAATACTGGATTGGGCAAGAAATGGGAAAGCCTTGGTGGCTATACTTAGATGTCATCCATTATCGTGGAAAACGCACACCAACCTTTCTGCTTTTGGAGTGGAAAAGGGCAGAGCTATGAGCACCTAAATACTCGTGGGAAACGCACACCAATCGTCTTTTTAAATTTAAATTATTTATTGCTGACATTTACTAGTATCACTTTATTCATGTTGGAGCCTTTTCAGAATAAAAATTTAGAAAGAATGAAGTGAATAAAGTGTGAAATTAAAGATGTGGTGTTGTCCTACTAATTCAATACTTAAGATTTAGAAAGAAAGAAGCGAATTGAAAATTAAGGTCAGGTCAAGTTCAAGATATATATATATATATGTTAGGCCTTGTAGGACACGTACAATTATTTTTAAGCTGTAGGATGATATGTTCGGCATTTCAGTTTCTCAATCTGAATATTAAAGAACAAAATATTCAATTGTTTTGTTAACAATTCCCTTTTGGGTTACCTTATTGGAAAAAAAAAATTATGGGCAGTAGTCTGCTGTTATTAGTTATGCGCAGATAAAAAATTATGTATGAGTTATTATTTTTATTATACTGAATATTTATTTTATTAATCATACTTACTGATCCCACTTTTTGTGAATGTAAAAACAAGAAAAAGACAAGGAAAGGAAGCAAGAAAGGGGAAATTAAGCCTGCGTAACTAAAATGAAATTGCAAGAGAAGACCTTTAGCGGAGACATGACTTTGGAAGGGAGCGTATTTCATAATTTTGCACTTGATTATTTTTACTTTAATCTCTTTTTTAATTGTTAAATTTTT